TATAAAAAGTTGCCAAAAGTATATGAAAGTTGTAGAATATTGGCATGGAACAATGAAAAATTATAGATATGACGGAGACATATCACTTTCCCATGAAGGATATGGCTACCTCATCTAATCAAGAGATGCCTAGTTCATCGAATCAGGAACCAGTTACAATTACCAAACCTGTCATTTCGATGGAAGACTTTGAAAGTCCTGTGGAGGAGAACAATGAAGTTCCTACTAGGAGCAAGAGACAGAGGACTGCAAAGTCCTTTGGTGATGATTTTCTTGTGTATCTCATAGATGACACTCCCAGTTCTATTTCAGAGGCCTATGCATGTGAAGATGCTGACTACTGGAAGGAAGCGGTTCGTAGCGAGATGGATTCCATCTTGGCAAATGAAACTTGGGAGATAACTGATCGTCCATATGGGTGCAAACCTATAGGATGCAAATGGGTATTCAAGAAGAAGCTTAGGCCTGATGGTACTATTGAAAAGTACAAGGCTCGGCTCGTGGCTAAGGTTTATAGCCAAAAGGAAGGTGAAGACTTGTTTGATACTTACTCACCTGTGGCTCGACTGACCACTATTCGAGTTCTGCTTTCACTAGCTGCCTCACATGGTCTTCTCGTTCATCAAATGGATGTTAAGACTGCTTTCCTAAATGGAGAGTTGGACGAGGAAATTTATATGGAACAACCAGATGGGTTTGTACTAGATGGTCAGGAAGGAAAAGTGTGCAAGTTGCTGAAGTCTTTGTATGGACTCAAGCAAGCACCTAAACAGTGGCATGAGAAGTTTGAAAGAACTTTAATAGTGCAGGCTTTGTTGTAAATGAAGCTGACAAATGTGTGTATTATCGTCATGGTGGGGGCGAGGGAGTTATCCTTTACCTGTATGTTGATGACATACTGATTTTCGGAACAAATTTGAATGTTATTAAGGAGGTCAAGGATTTCCTATCTTGCTGTTTTGAGATGAAGGATTTAGGAGTGGCTGATGTCATTCTGAACATCAAATTATTGAGAGACGATGATGGTGGGATTACATTGCTTCAATCTCACTATGTGGAAAAGATCTTGAGTCGCTTTGGCTATAGTGACTGCAATCCCTCTCCAACACCATATGATGCGAGTGTGTTACTTCAAAAGAATCGAAAAATTGCTAGAGATCAATTGAAATATTCTCAGATTATTGGCTCGCTTATGTACTTAGCTAGTGCTACAAGACCTGACATCTCTTTTGCTGTTAGCAAACTGAGTCGGTTTGTCTCAAAACCAGGAGATGTGCATTCGAAAGCTCTAGAGAGAGTTTTGCGTTATGTGAAAGGCACTGTGAATTATGGAATTCACTACACCGGTCACCCAAAGGTGCTTGAAGGGTATAGTGACTCAAACTAGATCTCAGATGCTAATGAGATAAAGGCCACGAGAGGTTATGTATTCACTCATGGAGGTGGCGCTGTTTCTTGGAAGTCTTGCAAGTAGACCATCTTAACGAGGTCAACAATGTAAGCAAAACTCACAGCACTAGATACAGCTACGGTCAAATCAGATTGGCTTCGTCGGCTCTTGAATGACTTGCCGGTTGTTGAGAAACCTGTGCCGGGTGTCCTTATGAACTGCGACAATCAAACTATGATCACGAAAGTGAGTAGTTCAAAGGATAACATGAAGTCATCAAGACACGTTCAGAGAAGGTTAAAGTATGTCAGGAAAATGAAAAACTCCGGAGTTATTACATTGGATTATATCCAAACGTCTAAAAATCTGGCAGATCTTTTTACTAAGGGTCTATCACGTAATGTGATAGATAATGTATCAAGGGAGATGGGTATGAGACCCACAATATGAGTTGTTCACAGTGGTAACCTAGTCTATGTGATCGGAGATCCCGTGAATTAGATGTGGAAGACAAGTTGTTGGTCAACTGAGAGGTGAGTATCCTTACTGTTAACAATACCACTCCATGAAGATGCAATACTCTCCTAAATCTGCATGGCAGGTTGATGTATATCTTAATGTGTTCTAAGTGGCTCATTTAAGCAGAGATGTTGTCCTGCAGAACATCTTTTGAAGAGCACACTATATGAGTCTGATTGTCAAACATCACAATATATGAGAGTAGGGTTCTCTCTAGTAAACTCATGAAAGGTCATGGAGTATGACGCATAAGCTCCGCCCGCGGGAAAGACCCACGGTAGCCTAGTATCGGTCAAGGCTTTGTGTGAAGCTAGATTCATAGAAAACTTACAGTTCAAGGCCCAGTCCACTGTTCAAGTTGTCTACTAGTGTAGCATAGAGTTCTAGGTGGAAGTTCAACTTAACAGTCTCCACTGCAATACCGGTATATAAAACAGTGTTTTGGAATCAAAGGTAAATTTCTGTGTGCCTCTGGGATCTGGTGGGGGATTGCTGGAATTTAGTCTATATTGGGACATCCCAATAACTATTTCAGAAATTCCTAAATAAATCCTAGAGGCCCACTTAGCCCATTTGTGCAAGGCAAGGGATACCACTAAAGTTTAGTCCCACATTGCTAGTTTAGTGGGAGTTGGACCTCCTTATAAGGGAGGTTCTTTCCCCACTTGTATGAGCATGAGAACAAGAGGGATATCCACGCGCGCTCCTCCTCCGTCGCCCGCCTCGTCACGACGCGCCGCGGGTTGCGGGAATGAACCGATGTCTAAATTTTTGCCACGTACTACGGGTATACGAAAGGTCACTCGGGAGCTGGAAAGTTTTTGCTGTAGTGGATATTGAATACGGACGCTGCACCCTTCGGTTGTTGTCTGTTCGTTTCATCTCCCGCGTTCCCTTCAGCTCCCGGCGCAGCCTCTCGCCTCCTTCTCTTGCGCCTATAAAAGTGAGGTCGCTCCTCTCAGAGAGATGCACCAGAACTTCTTCTTCCTCTCGCCACAGTTCCTGAGCACTGCGCTGCTGCTACGTTCTTCCCCATCCCGGCTTGCGGCGTGCACCGCAGGTCGGGACAGTAGGCCTCCGAAACTGCACCTTTTGTGTCATGTACGGGAGAAGGGTGATAAGGTTTTTGGGGAGCGCTTCGCGCGACTACTGACTTCTTCGTCACGGACGCCCCGGACTCCGATGACTACTTCCCCGACGACGACTTCTTCCCCGACGTCGACAACTTCCTCGACGACATGGCTGGCGAGGACACCAACCCCAAGTCCAGACTTCTTCTGCTGCTGCTGCTATCCCGTACGTGTTCTTCCTCTTTCTATTAGATGCCCTGCTACAGTTTCTTGTTCTAGTGTTTGCCCTAGATATATTAGACTCTGTTTCATATATGCAACTTGCTATACTGTCTGCTCCAAATGTGTTTAGTTACAATTCATATATGAAGTTGTTGTTTACCTTCTCTTTGTCAAATCGCATGACTTGTTTTATCACTACTATACTAGTCGTGCTTTATCTAGTGTATCTGTTAATAAAATCATTCGGTAAATTGCTCATATTTCCTACACAACTCATACAAGATTACATGTTAATTGAATATATCTTGCTCCTTGCCTTCACCCATCAATCTGAACTATGGGAGAGGGCCGGGCATTATACTCCAACACAGGGTCTTTTACTCAAGACCTTCTGGCTCGGATACTATATTGAATTCATGATCCAATCAACTCATCCAAAAATCTTAACTAATGGAGAGAGGTGGGGTATGCATTTATACGTCAACACTCCTTTGGCAGTTCGACTCATTTGTAGTCCTTGACTAGTCACTTTGGCGGTGGTGCACAATAGCACAAGATATTCCGTGTGTAGATGCAATAGTTGGCGTGGCAGTCGGGCGATGGTTGATAGTCCAAGCTGTGAATAGGGAGAAATAAAATTGTCAACTGAGAGGATGATCTAGAAATCAAATCACCATGTATGTAGGCACAAAGATGAGTTCAAATCAAAACGCCACATAGGTGATGTTGTACCAGAAAAAAATGAGAGACAAAGTAAGACTTTTGATTTGTTTTCTGTTTTCGCTATCGCAAGTTGCGAAGAGTTTTTTTCAAGGGGGAAGTGTTCATTTTAAAAAGGCAATCTAGAAAATCAATCAAGCTGCTTTGTGTAGCTGGCTTTGCACGTATAATATCGTCTTGGTAAATCGATTTGGTTATCTAAAGTCAACATTCACTAATGGAATGTACCAAAATGCTTACTAAACATAGTTAATTTTTATTTTGCACTTTTAAAAGGGGTTCACAGCCCCCTTTGGGCTCCAAGAGGCTCCGCCAGTGGTGGTACAGACACTGTATTGCGCTTCAGCCAGGCGGTTCGATCCCCACTGGGAGCGATGATTTGAACCGCGTGGTTCCTTCAAAAAAATCTATTAGGATGTTTGCCTCTCTAGTCTCTTTTTTAATATCTGGTGTTTTGCACCCTTACAGTGTGTTTGGTTCGTGAGAATTAGAGGTGAGTATGAAACTTGAAGGGTGTGAAGATTAAAAGTTCTCTAATTGATCGGAAGGAATGAGAATTTAAGTGGGAAGAGAAATGAAAATTAAGAGAGTCAATTCCCATCGATTTCTTTCCACGGATGCCTTGTTTTTTTTGTTTGTTTGAGAATCACGGGTGCCCTGTTAATTCATGTGCAGTGCTCTGTCCCAATTAATTCCCATCTTATACCAAACAAAGGATGAGAGTAAAATTATTAAACCTCGCATGCCTAATTCCTATACAAACTCCCTCGTGCAAACTTCCATTCCCCTACCTAACGGTTACCAAACAAGCTATTACAGAAAAAGAATGCTTTGCAATTACATAAGTTTAAGAGGGCATGGATGCAATATCGCCAACAAAAATGAAGACTAATCACTACTCTGCCGGAGGCAGCGGCAGAGATAAGCTTTGTTGTTTCGCCCTGTCTCTGGCTTCAGTAATTGACTAGAGGTGGCTGTTGCACTAGTCTCCAAATAACCAGGAGTCAACCCACCGTTCATCGAACGTTCAGAGTTTTCTTTGAAGGGGAACAGCCCTCGGAGCTCCCCAAGCCGCATTCATGGGTTCGTCGCTGGGGGGAGAGGAGGAGGAACGGATCCTGCTAGCGCGCGCGACGCCGCCGGAGGTACCCCCGCCTTCTCATCCCCACTCCATGAAATTTCGAATGGTTCTGCTTGTTTGTATTCAAGAATCCCGAGTAGGGTTTGGACTCTTCTCTAATCCCCTTTAGTTTCTTCTTTTGGTTGCGTATTCTTATCGATTGTATTGCTTTAATTGGACGCAATCGCTAGAGAAAGAAGAGAAACATACTTCGATTTGCAGCTCGAGTGGATTGACGTGCTCTTCTTTGATTGATTTGATGTAAAGTCGTAGGGAAGAAATAAAAACGAAGGGGAAATTCTGTAGAGGTGGTGGCTGACAGGCGAGGCCCACATGAGGACGCCTACCCCTTTAGGATTGCGGTATACCCCTTTTTAATCGAATTTATGATACAATATCTCGTAAATTGGAGGCTTGGAGCACGCAATTCTTCAGAGGGGTGCAGAATTATTGACTTGTATAAATGACATAAAATCGAAATTGAATGAATTGTTTTTCCTAAAATTAATGTTTGCTTTTCGGTGTGAACTTCGCTGATGTTGTCTTGCTTGTGAGGTCGGTTCGTTATTTTGACTGGTACCTTCTTTCATTGTTTGGTTGAAAGTGATGGAATGGAATGGGATAAACGTGTTTGACTGGAAGGTTAAGATTGTAAATGGATTACTGTCTTTTCAATGAACTTATCCGTGGAAAGAAACCTCAAATATTGATCAATGGACTATTCCAGATTACTATGCAATAAAATTAGAACACTGTAAAGTTTGGAGTTATATGCATCTAGGGTGAAAAATGAATATCGGATTACTGTTTTATCCAAATGATTGTCAAATTTTGGATGCTATACTGTGTTATCCACAAAAAACACTATAAATTGACAATCGGATGTACACTGTCTCTCTACCCAGTTGTCATATCTGAACTATCGGATCCATTTCCAATCCATTGAAACATGTAATGACTCCCTACTAATTTGTGTTCTTGGAAAACATATTTTTAGTACTACTAGAATTCTAAACTGTAGCTGTAGTAATCTGTACTTGAGTAACAACCAGGAAAAGCCCTGTGAAATGTTCAACTCTAAACTGATCATTCATTTTGGAAAATTATTTACTCCATAACATTTATGAAGTCGAAAATTTGCTCCATGGCTGGAATTTTCTAGATGGATAACACTTTGGTCTGAGCATCTCAGAGTCTTTTTTCCCACTTAGTGCATATTTTTTCTCAAGGATATATGCCTTACATGCTCCTATAAAAAAAATCTGTCCGTATGTTCATGCAAAGTTTTTTTTTAGCTCTTTGAGAGCCCCTTTGAATTCTGAGAGTCGGAGACTTTGTTGAACTATTTGCTTATTAATAAATGGGCCATATGCATCTTTTGGATGCAGAGACAGGGGGGTAACCTCCTTTTCGAAAAAAAATGCTCCTATAACATCAAGCATGCTGAGAGCTCTTTTTTGCATGTTTGAATCTACATTTATTCTGAACCCACAATCTTTGTCCCTTTTCTGTTTGAGCAACACAAAAGCTTTGCGCATGAATGCACTCATAGATGGAAAAAGTATTTACATGGTTACAACTATCCAGTCACAACAACCACCTGTGCCACAACCTTAAGCGCTAAGCTCCTCCAGTACTGATGCTTGGAGTCTAGTCACTTCTGCTCAGATACACAACATTGCCTCCCATGGTCGAGTGGCACAAGCCGATGAATGCGTCTCCAATGGAAAGAGGGCACGCAGTCGATCAGATCCATGAGAGCACCTTGTTCCACCAGGGTCGGGAGAAGGAACAGTGCAGCAAGTGGTGTCCCATGGAAACTAGGGCCGTCTGCAGAGAAGCCCATGTAGAATCTTGTCAACACGTTTTCCCACCTTTTTGTAGAGTCCTAGCACCATAAGCTAGCAAAGTGCATAGTCATCAACACCGATTTGACCAGGACCAATCACATGCCCACTTTTCAGTATGGTAGGCGGCCAGCAATCCGATCCACCAGCTGCTTAGAAGGCTCGCTGGGTAATTTGCTAACTGTCACTGGGATCCCTAGGTACTTCACCAGGAAGGTGGTAACATGGCATCCCGTTAGTCTTCTTGTTTATGTTCATGCTGTCCTTGTGAGACTAATCTGGGAAGAAATCTGTCCGTATGGAAATAAGGACAAATTTCCTTCTTATTCTGCGTGTGCTAGTTGTACTTGTAGTACTATTAGTAATCAGGAATTTGATAAGGATCAATAAATATAGTACATGATGATATTTTCTTGATAAGTAAATGTGTCTGAACAACGCATGATGATCATGTGGACACCTGCCAAGGGCATCATCTCATATTGATTCTGAGAAGGATCAGGCATCCTCTGCTGCACTAGTTTTAGGAAGCTTTAAAAAAAAGGGCAACCTGGTGCATGTAGCTCCCGCTTGCGCAGGGTCCAGGGAAGGGTCCGACCACTTTGGGTCTATAGTACGCAGCCTTTCCCTACATTTCTGTAAGAGGCTGTTTCCAGGACTTGAACCCATGACCTCATGGTCACAAGGCAGCAGCTTTACCACTGCGCCAAGGCTCCCCTTAAGTTTTAGGAAGCTTTGCTTTACATAATTGATCACTATGAGAATGGTGGATCACCTTTTCTGCAATTAATTGTACTGATCTATCTTCGATTTATTTTATCTGTGGGGTCAACTATTAATTTTAAATAGCTAGTGAGGCAAATCCTTTGAAAAATGCAATTGTTCACGTTTATCACGCTGTCACAGGCTCACAATCTCTGCCAATGTGTGTGTTCTTTTCGTTTCATGCAACAGTTTTTTCATGCTTCCATTTTCTGCTGACTTGGATTGAGCTATGAAAAGCTTCCACTTGTCAAATAATTTGTAGATCAACCATTAACAAGTTTACTTTATTCACAGAACTTTGATGAATACACAGGCGATGGCTCAGTTGATTTCAGAGGCCACCCTATTTTAAAGCATAATACAGGCAACTGGAGAGCATGCTCATTGATTCTTGGTAATAATTCATCAAGAAATCTCCATGAAGGAACAATGTAATCCTCATGTTTGTTAGGGACAAAATCATAAGATCCTGTGAGACCATCTTTAAGAAAATATATTCTCAGTTGACTTGCAAAATTTTAATCTTGCAATTCATTGAATTGGAAATATTTTCATTAAAGTTTATGTAAGCATTTGTCAGCTTAAGAGAGTATATTTGATGATATTTTTTTCGATAGTTGAGTCTATGTTTCATGATGATCTTTTATCGCTAAACACAAGAAAGAAAAGCCTTTGTACTTGTATGATTGTATGTAATGTTAAATTCACATGACATTTGTTTATTTATTACATGGCAGGAACTGAAGTGTGCGAACGCTTAGCCTACTATGGGATCTCCAAAAGTTTGGTCACTTATCTTTCAACTAGACTGCATGAAGGCAATGTGTCTGCAGCTAGAAACTTCACAACCTGGCAAGGAACTTGTTATCTCACACCACTTATTGGAGCAACCTTAGCAGATTCTTACTGGGGAAAGTATCGGACTATTGCTGTTTTCTCAACTATTTACTTTCTTGTAAGTTTCGACTAACCACATCCAAATGTACCTCAAAATTTCTTACTGGGGGAAAAGAAATCTCTTTCTCATTGGTTCAGTTGAATGGGCTTTGTAATAGTGTTTAGTACTTTGCACATGCTAACTTATTTGGTGCCAAATAACCATGTCATGGTGTTATTTTCGTTGGTATTCTTGATGGATGAAAGGTTAGCCATAGACAGGTTGAATGTGGACATGTAGAGCTTATCTTTTTCTCGAACACCCATATATAGCTTATTTTATTGAACATGCGTATATAACTTATTTCATAACAAAGATTATGGACACTGCATAATAATGAGTTCAGATATATTTTTTAACATGATACATAACTAGCATGTTTCACATATACGCCCTCCGTTCCTAAATATAAGTCTTTCTAGAGATTCTAATAGTGGACTACATACGGAGCAAACGAGTGAACCTACACTCTAAACTACGTCTATATACATCCGTATGTAGTTCATAGTGAAATCTCTAGAAAGACTTATATTTAGGAACGGAGGGAGTATTTGCAAACTTACTTTTCTTAGTTGTGCATCTGATGTCCCAGTACGTGCTTATTTCTGCTGATATATTGTGCTAATGACTCCTCAATGTGCATTTTGATTGAAGGGGATGTCAGCATTGACGCTTTCAGCATTGGTTCCTTATCTCCAGCCCCCTCAATGTATTGGGTCTTTTTGTCCAAAACCAGCCTTACACCAGTATTTGATATACTTCGTTGGACTATACATGATTGCTTTAGGGGCTGGAGGTATCAAGCCATGTGTTTCGTCCTTCGGTGCAGACCAATTTGATGATACCGATTCAGTTGAGCGAACAAAGAAAGGCGCTTTCTTCAATTGGTTTTATTTCTCCATAAATATCGGTTCATTGATCTCTGGCACTGTTCTTATTTGGGTACAAGAAAAATATGGATATGGTATTGGATTTGCAATCCCTACCTTTTTCATTGCCCTAGCTATCGGAAGCTTTTTTCTAGGCTCAGAGGTATACAGATTTCAGATACCTGGAGGAAGCCCTCTTACAAGAGCATGCCAGGTAGTTGTTGCAGCCATTTACAAGCGAAATGTGGACTTGCCAGTTGATAGTTCTCTTCTCTATGAGTGTCATGGTAAGAGATCAGCTATCGAGGGGAGCCGCAAGCTGGAGCACAGCAGTGAATTCAGGTACTTTTCTTGGTTATCATCAGGAATCATTTGCTGTGTAAGATGCTATTACCTTACCAAATTAATTAGTGGCAAAAACTGTTCAGATGGTGGAGTTCAGAATGCTGTTCTGGAAGAAATAAAAACATATTTGTTGAAGTTTAAGAATTAAATAAAATAGTTTACAATTTAACAAAAAAGTATGCTACTATATTGATCTAACACTCACGTGCTTGCAAAGCTTGTGTCTTGGGACTTCCTGGACACAGCAACCCCTTTTCAGAACCATGACAGGTAAACCTTACACGAGATGTAAGTAGCATAAGATTCGCATACCCACTGACCCGATGCATATTTGCCCTCTACAGTTTCCTTGACAAATCTGCAGTCATTTTGCGGAGTGAATGCGGCGATATTCATAATCCTTGGAGGCTTTGCACTGTCACACAGATTGAAGAGCTCAAAATATTAATGAGGATGTTTCCAATCTGGGCAACGGGCATCGTGTTCTTCACTGTCTGCGCTCAGAATTCATCAATGTTCATAGAGCAAGGGATGGCACTCAACAACCAAGTGGGATCATTCAAGATCCCGCCAGCCACCCTGTCGTCCTTGGACGTAATCAGCATCGTCGTTTGGGTCCCTATTTATGAGAGATTCATCGTGCCGATAGCCAGGAGATTGACTGGTAAGGAGAGGGGCTTCTCGGAGCTCCAGCGCATGGGGATCGGTCTTTTTGTGTCCACCATCGCAGTGGCAGTCGCAGCATTGGTTGAGATCAAGCGCCTGGAGAGCGCAAGATCCGAGGGCCTGGTCCATCAGAAGGTGCCTGTTTCCATGAGCATTCTCTGGCAAGCGCCTCAGTACCTGCTGATCGGTGTCGGCGAGGTGTTCACGTCCATCGGTCAGGCTGAGTTCTTCTACAACCAGTCTCCAGACTCCATGAGAAGCCTGTGCTCGGCTTTTGCCCTTGTCACCGTGTCGCTCGGAAGCTATCTTAGCTCGTTCATACTGACCCTGGTGTCGTATCTTACGACGAGGGGGGAGCAGATGGGGTGGATTCCTGACAACCTGAACGAAGGCCACCTTGACCGCTTCTTCTGGCTCATTGCTGGCCTCAGCTCCCTGAATTTTCTTGCTTTCCTTTATTTTGCACAGCAGTACAAGTGCAAGAAAGCTTCTGTACTTTAATGTTTTCTGCTTTGCCATGTATTGTACAGAAAGTTGCGTGCATATTTCCCTCATGAACAGGCTAACAATGTACAGTCTTCTGTAATGTACAGTCTTGTATCCTTTGATAGTTGGATACATTCGTTACTTGGACAGTGGGAATAGTTTACTTTTCCCTCTTGTTAATGAAGCTTATAAAACCATGTAGCTTTAGTTAACACGTCTGATGTCTCGATCATTCCAGTTTGTGACCTCAAGTGTCAGGGATCTGCGCGCTTTCTAGCGGCAGAGTAACTGACCTGGAAAGTGATTGCAAACATGCAATGGTGGGTAGCACCACAGTGTACCCCAGATGTGTGAGTTAATGCATTGCAAAGGGTTTTGAACTAAAACCACGACAAGTATTTTTGAACAGAGGGAGTAATGTTGTATGGTCTGGAGAGCACATGCTTCCCTTATTTTAGAAAACTCAAAACTAAGTCAAAACATTTCAAAAGAATCCAAAAAAGTATGGTGTGTAGGAACTAGAGTGAGTCATGCGTCAGCAATTTATGCGGAAAAATCCATTCGTTAGCAGTCTATGTAAAAAATGAAATAATCTCTTGAAAAGTTTTTTTTCTTTTTGTGCTGTCAATTGAACCGAGCATTTAACGAGACTTGAAATACAAAAATGCAAAAAAAGACGAAATCTAAGAAAAACTGATTCACTAATCACCCTTATGTGATTTTTGTTAGATCATTTGATAAATATAAAAATCATTATTTTTTTCTGAAAAGGGTGCACACTTGATGGGTTTCTCATGGAAAGCGCCTACTTCAGAGGAAGTCCTTTTCTTCACGTACCTTCAGATGCTGATCCCGATCTTGGTGAAGTGCTGGCCTGTAGAGATCTTGTGTGTTGTGGAATAGTGATTATGATTAGCGTGCTACTAGTGGACAGCCATTATGGCGGTCGGGCAGCGCTACGGTCCACCCAGTTACTTTATTTCAGTTCTATCAGTGACTTTTCACTCGTCGCTTTTGATAAGCTTAGGTCACAAGCAAGTGTATCTCCAAGTTAAACTTTCCAAAAGCCTCATCTTCCCAGCTCTAAACCAAAATATTGGGCTGCTTGCTCACCAAAGCCGCCGTCCACCTCAACTTGAGTTCTTCACCATCTTTGCCACCCACAGCAACCCGACAGCTAGCTCCGACTTTTCTACTCCCCCGATTTGAGGTTTCAAATTATAAGATGTTTTGAATATTTCAATATGAAATACATACCTACTGAAATGAGTGAACAAACATAATAAAACGCATCTATATACATATGATTCAGAAAAAAATAAACATCTTATATAATTCAGAACGGAGGGAGTAGTTTCTAGCACACGGTGAAGGAACTCGGGCGACACATTGGCCATGCCGCCTTATCCATGCACAGAAAAAATTCAATGCAGAAGGAATCTCACAAATACTGTACACGGTGCATGTCTATGATACGTGCAGTGCACCGCCGACCATGATCTGCATTCTCGGCTGAAAATAATACGTACAATGTGAGCGGCCTGCAACGGCAGGGAATAAGAACATGCGCGGTCGTGCATCCTTTTTTGCTCAAGTTAGTGGAGCATCGCCATTAGCATGCTAGATGCCCATGCTCACGCCAGTGTCAGCTGGCAGCTGCTTAATTACTCCCAAAGATCTACGGAAGCACTATGTTTTGTTTTCAATAAGCACATGCACGCGTTAGAATTAGACTATAGTCGACTATGATCTGGGTGCTGCTAGTGGACAGAACGATTGGTCTGGACAGCCATTACAGCCATGCAGGTAGCGGTGGAATAGCATTAGTGTCCACCCAGTTGCTTTCTCTGTTTGAATAACTTGTCATTTTTGACCAACTTTGGTTACAAGTGAGTGTAACATTTGTGGGCCTCTGCTAAAAAAAACATTTGTGGGCCTAAAGACCAAGGAGGTCTAGGGTAATAGGCCAAGAAATTAAAAACTCAATGTCTATTGAGCCAATGACTATACAAGATAATTACCGAACGACGGTCACCTTTGGCTCTCTGGTGTTGGTGCATCCTATATGGGGAAAAATAGTAATTCTAAGGGCCTGTTCTGATCTCCTTCAACTCCACAAAACTTCACAAATCCAGCTTCCCTAGCCAGCTTCTCGCTTCATCTGGTGATTCCCGAGCGTTCGGCTTCGTGTGCAGCTTCTCCCATCGCTGCAGCCCAGCTGGGAGGTTGTGGGCCTATTGGGCGCCAGTTTGGGCCGGTCCGGTATGGGCTAGACATCGAGGGAAGCCGCCCCTGTACCGATTCGATGGAGAGCGAGAGGAGCGTTATGTTTCGTGCGAGCGTACCGGTTCGCTGGCTTGGACTTGGCGGTGGCACTTCGGTTGTAATACTGGCCAACTCCAGCTTTTCGCATCGGTGGAGCTGGGCTGATGCTCCTCCAGGATTTTGCACTGCCATCGGGCTTAACTTCGAGAAGCCAGCTTCTCGTAGCAAAACTGTTCGGGAAAAATTCATCTGTGAAGTTTGTGAAGTGTGGAGTTGGAGGACTTCAGAACAGGCCTTAAGAAAGCCAAAATTATGAAACTTTTTGGGAAATAAGCATGAGAACTTCTGCTGTATTTTTGTATGAAATGTTTCACTAGGGAATGACTTTCCTGGTATTCTGGGTGAAAACAAAATCAACACTATATACAAGTTACTATTCATGTGTTTTGTCATTGAATTTTTTTTTTGCCTTGAAGTCGACGGGAGTTTTTCTTTGGCGGAACATTTTATACAAGTACAACTGAAGATCAAGTTTGTTTTTAGAAAAAAGTTCCGAAGTTTTCAACCTTTTTATTGAATTACTAGTTTTTCTCCATATAGGGTGAAACTACACCCGAGAGCCAAAGGGTATCTGCAGCTTACCGAAAATATAAGATACAGTACTTACTAGGACAGTGTTTGACAAAAATTACTTAGGAACTTCACTCTAAAACTCTCTCCAAGCTTGTGGCAAAATCGACGGACTCACCGATCTGAAAATGCCTCATGGGGTCAAAAATAACTTTTTTCGCAAAGAGGCTTCTGTGGTAGGAAATGGTCTAATTATTAGGTTCTGAGAAGATACATGGCTAGGGGGCATGCCACTAGCGAGGCAATACCCACACTTGCATCTTATTTTACTCCCTCCGGTTCTTTTTACTCTGCATATTAGGTTTGTCTGAAGTCAATCATATCCAACTTTGACTAAGTTTATATAAAAAATTATAGACATTCACATAACAACACCAATATCATTAGATTCATCTTGGAATATATTTTCATATTATATTTATTAGATATTATAGATGCTAATAATTTCTAATATAAATTTGGTCAAACTTAGCAAAGTTTGACTTTCGGCAAATCCAATGTGCAGAGTAAAAAGGACCGGAGGGAGTACAACAGAAAGAATTTTTTTGTTGCCTCGGGAAATAAACTTGAACTTCTGTTGTATTTTTGTATGAAAAGTTTCACTAGGGAATGACTTTCATGGTATTCTGGGTGAAAACAAAATCAACACTATATACAAGTTACCATTCATGTTTTTTGTCGTTGATTTTTTTCTTGCCCTGAAGTCGAGGGGAGTTTTTCTTTGGCAAAACATTTTATACGACTACAATTGAAGATCAAGTTTGTTTTTTGAAAAAGTTTCCGAATTTTTCGACCTTTTTATTGAATTACTAGTTTTTTCCATATAGGGTGAAACTACACCCGAGAGCCAAAGGATATTTGCAACTTACCAAAAATATAAGATACTTACCAGGACAGTGTTTGACAAGTCATTCTAAAACTCTCTCCAAGCCGGAACGTCGCTTTTGATAAGCTTTGGTCACAAGCAACTCATCTTATACTTCCCTATGTTAGTGTTAAAAAAGGTCTTAATATATTTTAAGACAGAGGGAGTACTTATCACCTCCAAGTAAAACTTTCCAAAAGCCTAATCTTCCCAGCTCAAAACCTTTATTGTGCTGCTTGCTCACCAAAGCCACCATCCACGTCAACTTCAGTTCTTCACCATCTTGCCACCCACAACAACGCGACAGCTCCGACTTCTCTAGTTTCTATCACACGGTGAACGAACTCAGAAGTCACACCGTCCAATCCACGCCGACCAATCGGCACTGAAGCCCATCCCACCTTCCAACTTGGCTCATCATCATCGTCGTTGCCACAAGAGCCGGGCCAAAACCATTGTTTTGACCTTGTCAGAATTTTTTAGCACAAAGTGACCTCTCTTGAAAATTTTAGTACGATCTGATCATTTTTCTACATTGCCATGGCTTACGAAGTTTCTGGCCCATTTAGACGCCAAACCACCGGGCGTTTCTAACCTGGTCGAGTAGCAGTTGAGTTCCTTTGTGGCATAGAAGATACACCATTCACTATGGCGTTGCTAGAAAAACCATTACATGTGGCGTTGCTGCCCCAATGAGAAACACCACTGCTTGTAGCGTTTCTAGCAAAGTCTGCCCATGGCCACTCATCTATTAAAGTAAGAACGTCCAATGGTTTTATCTAAATGGACCAGAAACGTCACAAGACATGGCGTTACCAAAAGGTCAGATCGTGCTAAAAATTATGAAAAGGTTCAGATCATGCTAAAAAATCCTGACATGGTCAAAATACTAGTGATTTTGGCCCAAGAGCCGCCGCGCTAAGGCTGATTGTAATGGGGAGTATCATATACTAGTATCATGCATATGATACCAGTGTATGATACTACCTCCCTAATGCATAATATCATATATTAGTATCATGTAGTATTCTATTTATTGCCATGCATGAGGCTGGTCATGTGGGGAGTAACTTAGACTAGTGTCATATGCATGACACTAGTCTAAGTTACTACCTTCATAGTGCAAAGTAATATAGTACTCCCTCCGTTTTTATTTACTCTGCATATTAGAGTTGACTGAAGTCAAACTTCGTAAAGTTTGACCAAGTTTATAGAAAAAAATATAAATATTTATCTTAACTAATCTACATGATGT